GATAATCTGTTTTCTTGTGCCCAATAATGCATAATTTCATTTGATAAACACGTTTAGATTGAATGGTAATTTATAATCAGTTACCAGAACGTCGAATCTGAATCACTTGAAAAAAACACGGGGGTGCTTAACTTTTTTCCAGGTGTGTATTAAAAAACAGGCTAAATATAATTTTTTGTATCACATCGTATGTTGCCTTCTGGGTTTTGTCAGATTACAATACAACATCTATAGCTTCTAATGAATTAGAAACTCAAATTTCTGATATTGGAAAACTAGAACATAAAAAAAAACTTCTACCTTTTATATTTGCTGAGATATATTAATATTTAGTGAATCCACCATATTGGCTTTGCCCACCACTTCATCATTTGAGAAGACTTTTTCATCTGTGTCTACTTTTGTATACCAATAACTATATTACCAATGAAAAGTTCAACATTTCTATTACATAGTTCTGTCACTCTTCTTAATTATTTATGAGATAAAAGCTCTTACTTCTCTTGAAAGTTTGAAGTATTACATTAAAAGACTATTTACTGAACAGAAATTACATATATATAGTCTACAAAAAATTTTATTTTTCCATCTCTACATGTGAATGTGGAAGAAACTTGCAACAAGGGTTAGTAAGTACGACTCACGAGTGCAAATAAGGACTTTGTAGCATCATAGCTAGTAGAGATCAGTTTTCCAAATATTTTTTATTTACTGTTCTATATTTTAAGAAAAATAACTGACATTTAAGTATATATTTGAAAATAATAATAATAATATATATTCATATGTAATGTGCAGTAACCAAAATGTTATTGTATTTTACAAATTACAGGTATATTAGTGCTAAGAGTAAGAGATTTGTACTTTGTTTTATTATATACAACTTGTGTTATTTTTTTTCTCCTTTACATTGAGGTAGAATAAAAACATTATACAAAACTAAAGACTTGGCAAATCAGAACAAGCTTATTTGTATGACTTGGGAAAGATGAAGAGTCAATGCAATAAATTTATCACTGATAAACAGATCTTAACACATGGAAAGGAACATTTTTAGATAAAAATGTATAAATCAAGGAAAATTGATATAAAATGTTTCAGTAAAAAAAAACTATTAAAAATAAGAAAAAGATGGAAAAAATATAAGAATCTGTTAATGTTCATTCGAACAAAAAGTAATCAGTGAATAATTTGTTTCTAAAGTGATAAACAAGAAGACTAAACCAAAAATACTAGTTCAACCAAAACGGGCCATATTTATATTACTGGAAACTACCCATTTATTGGTTACTGTGTAAGCATAATAATATAGGAAACTGAATATTCATAAGCACTTACACAAATTTACACATATACTAACACTAAATCCCAACCACCCAGGAGGATAACTAACAATCAAATATCTAACAAGTTTATTGGATCAGATACAGCTTTATACTGAGCCATATTTTAAATATTTCTTTCATATTTATAAAGTATTTTAGACAACTGTTGTTGCAATCAATGTATTGTAAAGAAGTTGATAAATTCTACCTCACTGTGTTCTCAGAACCGGGATTCGAATAGACTGTAAGAAATGTCCACTTACTGACTTATTGGATCAGTCTGGACTTTCTACAAAGTCATAATATAAACATTTTATAATACTTTAGACAGTTGTTGTAGAAGCCATTATACTGTCAACAAGTTAATAAATCCTACCCCACTTTGTTTTTAAAGCAGGGAAAGTTTTGGGAATTGCACCACATGAGCTTATTTGATATTGACAGTGTCCAATTAAGTAAGGAGCAGCGATTCATTGCTTTATATTCAGCAGATTTCTCCTTCAGCCATTAACAGTAGGATAAACATAGAAAATAGGTATGAAATGATTAGAAGAAACTCTCGGGAATTTTACTTTTGAACATACTGAAAAAGACAGGCAGTATTATTCATTTTCTTTCATCTAGTTTCTAAGTCAGTTCCTAACAATAAAATTACTACAGAAAATAAATTTGAAAAGGTGAGAAGTATATACTCTGCTCATAAGTTCTTTGAAACTTTGTGATCAATACTATAAATTTTATTTTGCATTTTGCAACCTTTATTTTGTTATACTCTGATAATTTGTCTTACGATCTGGAGAATCAAATATAATGTTACAGTAGAGAAAATTACGGATAAAAGATAAAGCTTTACTGAAAAGAGTGTTTGATATTTATAAGGATTTTAATTTTTAATTTGTTTTATTTATTTATTATTATAAAAGTAAAATGTAAAAAAAAATAGGAACTTGTTTGGTAAGCTAATAGTAAAAAAAAAACTTCATGGGGTGTACTAGGGAGAAGCTTGTGCATTATGCTATTCAATAGAATAACGTGAGCTGCACATGTACCGTGTAATTTTCAGACATGGTTCAAAGGTCAATAAAACAAAAAATTAATAAATGTAAATAGATGTATACTGTTAAAAGAATTAAGCTATTTAGAGTAAACATTTGTGGTTTTCTATTACAATTTGCAGTCATTCTAGAACAAAAGAAAGGGTAATTTAGATTTATCTCTTAATTTTTATGATGGTTACAAAGTTGGTCAAATCAACTAACACCATATAGAGTTAGGGTAGAGGAAATAGCAGATAAAATTTAGTGTTACTGAAAAAAAACATTTGAAATGTATTTAGGAGGTTTTACAGATTATGCAAATGAAATTTAAGATTTTTGAGATCAAGAGAAGTGTTTTTAATCTTAACATGAAAATCACTTTGCACTTGGACTAGTTAAAAAAAAGATTTGATACATTCACGAACAAATATTTTTTTAGTTTATTAAAAATGCTTCACTAAAAACCTGATTTTTTTGTAGTATCAAAACTATAATGAGTTTAAACGAGTGCAAGGTAATCATGTGGTTGGCAAATTCAACCGAGTCCGTATGGAAGAAGTTAGCAGGTGCAGATCATGAAAGGTTGTGTTTCCTTTTTGCTTTTTATATGAATGCTGCTAATTGCTGCATATTCTTCTTGTGATACTGGTCATTAAAAAATTTGAAGTAGAGTATTTTTAAAGTAAGGTAATTTAAACATCATTTAATGTCTAATGAGTTTGTTATTACAATATTTACTGGAATATTTTCATAATTCATTTTATATTTGCATATAAATATGTTTGAGAATTTGTGTGTAAAATTTCATTTCTTTTTTTAGATTGTCAGAAATTATTTATCCCACTTCAGTGACAAAGGACACATTAAAGCGATCAGCAGATCATCATGATACACTAGGTTCTCCGAAGAAATCTAGACTAGTGGAAATGTCTCCCTTTAAGTCGACCCATTTAGACCGAAGGTAATTACGGTACCTGAGAATTTAACCTTTTTTGGACCAAATAGATGTTACTGATATTCCATGATGTTTTTTTTCCTTCTTGGAGTGGAAAAAAATGACCAAATTGCATTATTATAGAAAGTATCTATACTGCACAAAAGAAAGTATATCAAAGATAAATTTGGCATATTCTAACAATGAAACAACATGGCAATTTTACACAAAGTGTATTTGATAGAAAAGTATGTGCAAAATAATTTTCATTTTGGGGAACGTGCCTTGTGAACCATTTTAATTATATTATTATTATTACTTATTTTACCTAATCTAGTCTTAAATAACTTAGAAAGATCCATATTTTTAGATTTTAGTTACTTTTATAATAATAAATAAAAAATAAATATGAAAAACAAAAATTAAAGAACTTAACCAATCTTCTTTTTTCTTGCTCTCAGTTTTCAAAGAGATTTAACCCTAATTTTTTATACTGTAGATAGTAATGCACTTAATAATTTTTATTTAATTAAATAATGCACCAAAGAATATAGACTGATAACGTGAAAAAAGTTGACAAATTCACTTACCTCTCCAAATTTTCCTGGTTTTCTAACTATACGACGTTACAAAAACTTGTACTGTGAGTGAAACTGATGATATTCTGTTCACAACACAATGTTATACAATACATCATTTGATAGATGAAAACCTTGACTTTCTAATGGTTATAGGTAATATACAGTGAAATGTAAGAGAGAACTATCAACGAAGTGTTAAAGAGAGAATGTGGCAGGAGGGGTCTGATTTTTTATTTGATAGCTCTGTAACCAAACAAAATTGAAGTCTATAAAAATTATAGTTTGTTTGACCAAAAATGATTTTATAGGTAGTATTTTACGTTTAATTTCGTACTTTTTGAGGGGTGGTGGATAAAATAGTGATAATGAAATGCTAAGAGAAAATGTGTCATGTGGGTCACACTAGTGGGAATTCAGGATTTTAAAAAAATATTGCCTTGTAGAATTAAGAACTTAAAACT